TTCAATTTACAATCGTGAAATAATCGTAAAGAACAGAGAAAAAAATACTAATACTGTTACAATGTTCCCTTCGTGAAAGCTTGTAATCTTCCACCCATTCTTCTCGTTTCTATTTGAACGATTAATTGGACGGCGCTTCGAACTAATTAGGTACATGGTTTTCATCGATCTCAAAGTCAATAAAATTGTTCCATCAATTCTTCCCTCTGTTTTTTCTTTTCACGTTCCTGTCTTTATTAATTGTTCTGTTTTAAGTTCCAAACATTTTCATTAAACATTGATAAAAACGTGTTTCTTTGCCACTGACACGAAAAAATTTATTGATTTTTATTAACACTAATTTATTGAGAAAAGAAATTACTTTTTAGAGACTCTAGATATGTCCAAGCTACTATAGTACTATGTATTTAAGTCTAATTTAACAGAGGATCAAAATTAATTTTGATTTATCGGCCGATCAAATGCACGAATATTGCCGAACGCTGTTCGAAAAACCGCATCTGTATAAATTCTTATACAGTCTTTAATTTGAATCTTAACTCTATAAGAAGAGGAAAAAGAACTGTATTTTCCCTTGTTGTTTCGTTTTTTTCGTTTGTCTTCGTAAAATTCAAGAAAGAAACATTCTGACTTTCCTACAAATAAAAGCACGTTAAACACGGGGAAAAGAAAAGAAAAGAAAAGAAAAGAAAAGAAAAAGAAAACAATCAAACCGCCGTTTTCTCTCTCACCTTAAACGAATGTCATCTCGAAGAATTTATCTCTAAATTCTGTTATTCAGGTCTATTCTCAAAAAACGAGAATTCCTTTGAACCTAACGCTTATTCATCTTGTTTATTCGCTGTTCCACTAAGTGTACTTCAACTCTCATGCACACTATTCTCTCCTATATTCCTAACGCTCCTTTCTCAACAAATTCGCAATCTTTAACGCTATTCACATACATCTTTTTATTAACCTTACACACGCAATACGTTGTGGCCGCCATTTTAACATTCTAGGATTTATAATATGCACAGTGCTTATTTCTTCTCCTTGATTTTGGGCCCGTGGCGACCGAAAGTGTGATAGAAAAATAATTACGATGCTCGATCGATTTATCAGAGGCACTCCGTTCTCTCGAGCTATTTTCAGTCTCATTATCAACGTCATTTACTTATTCGAGAGATGAGAACACTCAAGAGCACACGAATCGATTTAATATCCCTCGTCCTCGTTTAAAACTTCAATAGAAACTCGAATTTCTTTAAATGAGACATTTGAAATCAAAGTGACAGACAAAAGTTACGTTAAGATCAAATGGATTAATCATGCATATCAATTGAGTAGCGTATTTTTTATCAATTAAAATTCCAATATATATTAGTTACGACGAAGAATATAAAAAGAAACGTTTGCTTTCTTTATTCCCAGGAGACAGTTAATCGTCCATTTTGTATTCGCAGTGGACGATCAAGGAACAGCTTTCAGTCGCCATTTGCCGCAAAAAAAGTACAAATCGAAATTAGCCTTAACGTTAAACTTCCTCTAATTAATTCATAATCGCTCGCACAGCCACGCTCGCCTAAATGTTAAAAGGATTCTTATTCTTCTTTGTCGCTTCTTTTGCTTTTCTTCGCTACTTCTTCTTTCTTTTTCTCTTATTTTATTCTTCATCTTCGTTTCTCTTGCTCTTTCTTCCTGTTTTTTTCTTTTCTTTATAATAGTAATTAAACTATTATGATGACTCTTCGTATTTTACCTCTAATTTTTTCTTATTAAGATTCTTTTAACTAAGTAATGTTAAAGTATAATGAAGATATAGCATCCATTGTTTCGTAAATTTATATGTATAATTTATATTATTTATTTTCTTCTTTTTTACCGGGAGAATTATTGAATTCTAAAGTGGCGTTTTAAATGTTTCTATATTCTCTTCTCTATCTTCCTGTCTACGTGTGTATATCGTTTTAAATCGTTTCTTCGTTTGAGTGAAGAAATGCAGCAATGTATAAAAACAGGTTCAATGAAATGCCATTCAAAAGTCCGTCATCTCTTCTATATTTTTCTGCATTCTTTATTTGTTCTTGCATTGTTATATAGTTTATCTTTTTTGTTAGATCTTCAATTTGTATGCGGTGTAAATGGTAGATTAAAAAACATTTATGGTAAAAATTGGAGGATTTTCCTTTGTTTCCGAGTATTTGTTTCATCAATTATTAAAAGCTGTAAATCGATAACACATTTAAACGTAATTATCCGAGGACGTTGACGTGTATTCGAAAAAGAAAAAATAAAAAATACATTAATCACTGTCGATAGTAACAAAGTTAAAAATTTTTTCTCTAACATTTTTGCGGGTTTGCAAAGTTTAGTCGGATCACAAATTCCTATAGCTACGTGTACATTGTATATCGAAATTTAAATGGATAAAAGAGTACTATTTTCATAATACATAGGCTTTATAATTATAAGTAATTCCTTTCAAACAAAGAAGTATAACTAAATATTGGAATCGTTAATGTTTTATTTTATAATTATTTAATAGCATAGAATGGATATAATAATCGAAATCTGATTTTCCTCAAAGCGCTTTTTGTCAAACACTGGGCAAAATACACGTCAACGCTTTTTTCTGTCGCAAACCGACTTTACGAGAAATATATTACAGGGAAGAAACGCATGATAGACCCACCCATACACCAACTCATCAAGTTATAGTCTGTATATACAGTAATGAATAAAAATATTGGCACAGACCAGATGTTAATAATCCTGTGCAAACCTGTAAAACGTACGATTGCTTATTCAATTTTGTTTGTAATATATTTTCATCGCTATTGTTAAGAAACTGTATCGAAATTACTTCGCAAATAATGAAAAATATATAACGATCTGTTTTTACTCTAATTTTTCTTATACATACATACTATACATATATATATATAGTATACACACATATAGTATTTATTATTGTAATACGTATCTTTTATCTTCATGAAACAATAAATTACTGTATTTGTGTCTTCCAATAATATTGCATTCTTGCAACTTTATTTCGTTGCTTTGTCCTTAATGGGTACAATTAATATGGCAAAATTAAATATCATAACTTTGCAACTTTTGCTCCTTATATTTTACAAAAAAATAAACAAAGAACCATGTCTTTTACAAACCAACATAAAAGTTTACAAAATAATCTGATCTATGCCAATACTTTTGTTTATCATGCGACCGCGGATTTCTATGCATTTATGCAAAAGATAAAAATGCACAGAATGCATATAATATATGCAAAAATATATAAAATACATATCAATAATTCAATACATAAAACAAATCTCTACCAATGAAGTTCATTGATCAAGTGAATTCTATTTCTTTAGTGGTGTTTATAAAACCATAGATTCCCATAAAAGTCCGCAGTCTACTTATCACCGTACTCTTCACCGTGGCTCTTATCATTCCTAAGAACTTCGTTTCGTCGTAAAGGAAATAAAATTAAATCAGGCCTGCGTTTGTTCGCCAAAGATATAACAAGTACATTCTCTCTCAAATTCTTAGATTTTTAATAACATTCGAACAAGTATGGCTCGAGAGAAAACGAGATTTGATCGAATCGCACGAAGCCTTAGGAAGGTTAAGGCTTTTTCCCCTAAATGCTCGCAAAGTAAGCTGTGTAAATGCGTATGCATAGCGTATGTAGTTTTCTCGCGTGTACTCTAGATTCGTCACTGCTTCTTTCTTACATTTAGACGCAATGTATGCGCGCAACATTCTCGTATACATTGTACAAGCTTTTCCATAATCTATGGAAGCGCTCGAATATTTAAATTACAAGTGTTCCTTGCTACAAGATACAATATCCTTTCAATAATTATCATTCCGAGGGAGTTTTCGCAAACCTCAATTTCACAAAAATTAGTGGCTGTCTTTTCCAAATAATTCGCTTGCAAATTATTATTTCGAAGAGACATCATTAAGCGAGTGTTGATAGAGAAGAAAATATTCTAATAAAAGAAAGTGTGAAGTATCGTTTAAATAACACTGATTTATTAAAACTTAAAAAAATATTATTGACAAGATAAACGCAGACAATTTAATTTCCTTGCAGATCTGTAATATTCATGTTTATATTTTATTCGTGATTTGATTAAATTATCAAAACGCACGTTATCGAGTAGCAAGAAACACGAGAAAACGAAAAGTGTCGCGTACGCGTGATCACGCATTCAGAGCCGAAAGAGGGGAGATCGATCGCGCGCATACACGCCATTACAATCGTATAAAATCACTCTCGAAAAAACGATTGATGAAATTTACCGGAGAAATCGTCGAATTATCTTTTTCCACGTCATAGAAAAAAGAAAAATTAGGAAAGGAAAGAAAAGACGTAAATGATCGAAGAAAACTCGTATCTCGACTTCTTAGGCCCTCGTGCGTCCTCGCGCGAACATCGACCGCGAGATTTTTGTACATTACCCTTGAACAAGGTTTATCTTAATTCCTCGAAGGTACGATATATCAAAGTTCCATTAGTTACACTTTCATCGTGGAATTTTAAAGGTTAACCCTATCTTTATATAAATGGTCTCTTCGTACCTGTCGCGACACGAAATGTTTTCGTGGCGAACGAAGTGTGAAAAACGTGGAAATAGCGGCGTTGAAAATCGTAGAAAAACGATGAACGCGTGATAGAAAAAGTTGTCGCGTCAGGTACGAGAAACTGAAACTCTCTTCCATTTTCTTTCTTCTTCTCTCTTTCGTTATGCTTCTTCTCCATTGCAAGCTTTTTAACGTCGGCCTTAGATAATCACGTGTATAACCTACGTAACATCGCTATAATAGTATATACACACAGTACAATTACGGATTAGCGTTCACATTTATCATACCGATAGACAATATTAATAACATGGTTGTATCTTCATTGTGTACTCGCTGCTAACAATTCCTACGTACTCTCTAGCTGCTAAACGTTAACTAAATTTCTTAATTTTTACGCCAGTGTTTCATCTTCGTTTATCTCATAATTCTTTCTGCGTCTGCCTTTTGCTTACGTACTTACAAACACAAGTGTATGTATATCTAACAATGAAATCCCTCTCGATGATAGGCATACTACATATTCGCTCAAAACTCAATACATACACACTCTCTCGTATCTTCATCGCATGGAAAACTAAACCGTGTGTCGGTATATCGAATGGCGATCGAAAGGATCCACTGTTTCGATCTGGAAAGAAAAGAGACATAGAAAAAAATAACTAGACGCATGCGTTATGTCGGTAATTCAGTCCGTGTTTATTTTTCTAGGGTTAAGAAAAAAAAGATGCAACGTAAAACGAGAGAGAAAGAGAGAAAGAGAGAGAGAGAGAGACGCGTTTAACTCAAACGAATGTATGTGTGTCTGTTTATATAGTAGAACTTCATTTATTGAAACGAAATTTTGTTAACTGATTATTTGATTTCTCTTGCACAATGAAATTAGTATTATCAGTGACATTTTACTAATCATAAGTTACAAATTATCAGTATTAATAAGTTCTTTTGATAATAAAATAAATGAATTTTTACAAATCACAAGTCATTTGCTTATCCTATTTAACATGTGTCTATAAAAGAGAAGTCTAACACATAAAATTCATAATTTGTCAATTTATTAGTTTTATTAATATTTATGCTAAATTATTGTGCAAGAGAATCCTGAATATGAACTTTTATTAAGCGCCTCATAAGCCAAATTGATCAGCACCACTTTTGTCAATTTCTCAGTTTCATTGCGTGACTACATGATTAATATTCAATTCTCAATAAACAAATGACTTACTTTCACAAGATCATTTATTGCAAAGAGATAACAAAAATAATAATAAATTCTAAAGTAAGATTAAAAAATAGTGTCTGCAACATCGTCACTCTTCTCTACTTTTCAATTTATACAGATGATCAATATGGCTTTGTCATAGGGTCATGTATAGTAATAGACTCTTGTTATATATGCACATTATTTCCTTCATGAATAACTTCAGCTTTCAGATAAACAAAGTTCTACAATATTTGATTGGTCGGTATTTAAATCGCGTTCGATCCAATCGAATAGATCGTTCTTCCCTTCAAAAGGCACGAAGAAATCATGGCTCGCTTCTCTCAAGTTTCTTAACCTAAAAACATCGTGCTTCGTTCGACGTACAAAAATGGTTGGGGGGGAAAGTGTTGTTGCGAGGATCACCGAAGCAGTGTTGATGGTGATTGCTCCCAGTGTTTCAGCCTTCTGCGTTTCAATATATATATATGTATATATTTTTTTTTGTTATTTTTTTATTATATGTTTTTTTGGTTTTTCGAATTTTCGTCTCGCGATTGAGGTTAGGGGAACAAGTGAATATTAAAAAAGTGTACACACGGTAGAAAAAGTCTGCCTCGCGAGCTCGAGTGTCGTAATATGCATGCCAGACACGATTTGCGAGAAGGGAGTGAACGATCATCGTTTCAGCGGCTGATCGCCGCCATTTTGGTTCGAACGCCAGGTCTACCAATTTTCTGTTTTTCGTCGCTGGCACTACTACTATCTACGAAGGAACAAAAAGTCTGGTTACTCGATATTTGGCACAGATTAAACGGAATTTCTTGCTCGCGTGTGCTCTCTCGTGCGACGAGATCACTCTTCGACTGGATAACTATGTCTTTCGCTCTGCCGTTTTTTTGTTTTCTCTTCCTAAATTGGTTCATGGAAACAATCGGTACTTTTCTTTTTATGGCTCTTTCGCTTAGGTGCATCTTAATGTGTGTCAAATATTAAGCATGCGGCGTGTATGTGTAATATACATATACGTATATATATACACATATATACGTGTAGTATGCGTACAATGTGTGTGGTCGACCCTGTTGATCGAACTATCACTCGAACAATATGGTACTAAGTCCATATGAACATCGTAAAAAAACAGAAACATAAAGAGAAAAACAAGAAACAGAGAAAAAGAAAAGAAAAAAGAATGTACGGCGTCGTCGAGAGTGTATCCGCTTCCTATAAGTATCTTTTATATGTATATATATATAGAATGCTCCTTTTTTTTCCTTTTTTCTTTGAATTCTCGTAACAATGTAAAAAAGAAAACGCAAATGTGTGTATGTTTGTGTGTGTGTGTGTATATATATCCATTATATATATCTATATACATATATACGTATACACACATCATATACATATACATATATGTATATACACATTTCGCGGAAGGGGATCGTACTCGTTACATTGTCTCATGTATATACGTATATATCGTGTGTACATATGTATATATCGGTACGACATACAGCATACGCAGCCTTACGACCTAGGAATAATTATTATTGTGGTAGCATGTCGCCTTAAGTCTATGGAAAAAAAAAACAAGAAAAAAGAAAATGAAAAATCCTGTCTCGTTAACACACGAGGAGAGAAACGCCCGCTTCGCTGTCTCGATTCGCGAAGTGATGAAGGGGATGAATGTTGGGAAAAGACTAACGATTCAACCCTATTACGAGTGTTATTGAGGATGACAGCAGGACAGGGAAGAATCTTTCTTGGGAATGAGGGAGACGCTTGGGTTCACCATCGTGTTCTTATTACAAAGAAAGAAAATAAAAAAAATAAAACGGAAATGGGACACGATGGAGAACCTAATTAAGAGGAAAATATATCGGTGGTATTTACAAGAACTAGCGAAAGGATAATAATGATTGGAGTGGGCGATGAAAAGTGAGGTTAGGACGAGGGAAACATTTCGACGACTCGGTGGCGAGGATCCTTTCGTCGAGCTTCGACTTTTTGGCCCCACCCTCGTTTCGAGATTTTCATAACCTCAAACTCCATCGATAGAAAGTATGTGGTTAGATAGCTTTCTCGTTGGATCTGTCGATACTTATTAACCAATAAACGATTATCTAATCCCTCGAACGTAAACAGCAACAGGTTTGAATCTCGATGGACACTGGGGACAGATCTGTGCTCGAAACGACGGCGGACGACAGGCAGTAGGAACATACGAAAACGCCGACAGAGCAACACCGATACAATGGTCGGTCGGCGGTTACAACAGCAAACGCAAGGAGGCGTCCCGAGCGTCTTCGAGGAAACGGAGCCTCCGACTCGAGCGTAGACTGTGTCGCAGAAACATCCTTCTTTCTTCTTCTTCTTCTTTATTCTCTCGGTTGGTTACTTAACGTACGTGTTTCTGTGTACACACTTTTCGAAGGATGCGTCTCTTGATGTCTCGATGCGTCGCGGGTTTTCGACCGTCCATTAATCTCGAGCGGAGGCGAGTTCGCCGTGGCGAACGCGCGCGTTCAGTTTGCTGATCGCGACGCGCCTTTTGATCACGAATGCTTCACTACGATCACGCCCGGTCGCTGCTGGGCCTGTTGCTGTCTGTGGAACTGGAGGAACTCGGCCTGTAGTAGCCGCTGCTTCGCCGTCGGCGACGCACCTGGCGTAGTAGATGATTTGCTCGACGTGTTCGCCGTTTGTTTGTTGGTTAACGCCAGCGGCATGTCCTGCGCTGGTTCGTCGCTGAAGAGATGGTCCCCCTCTAGGTGACGTATCGCCTCCACGATCGTTTCCAGATTCTGTCTGGAGGTGTTCGCTAAATAAAGCCTCGCCTGAGGGGAACTGTCGTCTAGAGAGTTCGAAGGCGACGGCAACCTGGAATTGAAATGATTTTTCTTTTATACGTGCTATCATGTAGTTTTACAAACCGCATATTTATGCAATTTCCTATGTTAATGAATGCACATAAACAAATTGAACTTTGTTCCAGTCACTAAGTACTGTGTATATTCTGTACATTTTGACAATTAAATTTCTCATAAATGTATAAATACATGATAATAACATGATAATAATGAATTTCATCGAGCATAATAAATTTGTGTTAGTAAAATGTATCAGAAAATTCGAAAATAATATTGAAAATTTGATAATTCTGCATGAAAATTATTTGATAAATTATAGAAACTGTTTACAGTTTTGAAGTCTTGTTATCAGTCAAATGCACGACGTTCATAACAAGAATCATAAAATATTAATAAGATGGAGACATGTGTTACTATTTACCTTGACATTTACCCTACATACTAAATGCAGGCTACATAAATGTATCACGTAAAGTTCATCGTAAAATTGAAACATTTATATCTTGTAAGTAAAACGATAGCATATTTTAAATTTGTTAAGACACATTGCCTTTTCCAGAAATGTTCTTATTATATAAGACGTGATATATTATACGAAATTAATATTAAAAATTTACTCCACCTATAGAATAATCAATTTATTAAACCGTTCTGTTTGGCATTATTTTTATACTTTTTTATAAAATTTGTTATATCTATAATTTATATACAGTAAATTTAATACATATAAAATTCAATGCATATATAGAATGTTATATTTTTATTTATTTCAAATTATTATTTTATAATTAATATTTATTCATACATTACAATACAATATTATTAATTATTTATAAGTTTTCTAATACCTATAAAGGAGGTTGCATATAAACAGAAGCTGGGAACGAGTTGCACTATAAATATGTTACAGACTTTTATGTTTATATTTTTTATATTATAATAATAATATATATATATCTTTATATTATTATAATAATATATATACAAAGATATAAAAATACACAGAACCCATATAATATACAAAAATATACAGTTCTGTTTCTTTAATTATTCTCCTAAAAATACAAATCTGCATCCACTCATAATGTAACCAGCAACATTAATATATTAATACGTATAATAATATTAACAGAAAATAAAAAACAGGAAACCAGAACACTCACCTCTCAACTTCTACTTTCGGTTCCGCTTTCATAGCAGCCTCGAGGACGCTTGGTAGTCGTTGCGGCTCCGCGGTCGGTGAGAAAGGCCTACTGGGGCTGGTGGTGATATATTGAGGTGACGCGTTTTTAAACTCCCCCGTAGTCGTGGCGTACGTGACACGACTCGACGAGGAAAAAGAGTCACCGGTTGTCTGTTCGTCAATTGCGGAGAACACCTGGTTCTGGCCAAACGTTACAATCTTCGGCGAACCTGGTCCAGTCTCTTCCTCCTTGATCTCTTCTGGTACCATATCGGCGGGTTGTGGAGACAGAGGTGGTGAACTTGGATCCGGACTAGACGTGTCCACGGTCTGCGTCGTGCCAACCGGTGCCAAGGACACCACGGAAACTACCTGCAGTGCCGCTACCGCTTCCTCTGTCTCTTGAGCGATCACGTTGTCCGTATGTTCAATCACCTGAAGAACGGGAATTAAGAATTTCACCCTCTTCATATTTTACACATTGTTCTCACAAATTAAGAAGAATTTTATGTACTATATTATTTATTATCAATGCAATAAAAAGAAGAACATTATTTAATAATTTACCTCGTGAGGCTGATAAGTGATCAGTTGATTATCCCTGAATCTTTCCGGGTATAGTTGACTCTGTATAGCTCTCATCTGCTTCTCTAGATGCAACCTCGCGTGACGTTCCCTTTCCAACTGTCGTCTGAGTTCTACCACCTCACTGTTGACCACAGAATGTCCCTCTGTGGTCACCGTTATTACCGACAATGGTTCTGGGGACATGCTGCCCAATCCTTCGTCACCGCTTTCGCTAACGTGCATTGGTAGACTAACCACGACACCTCCTGAAACAAACAAATTCCATCGATAATTCATTACTTAATCACATATAGCAAAAGTAGACTAAGTTCTACACTATTTAATCTTTCTAAATGTATTTCATATCGTCGATTTGATCGAAGAGAATAGAATTCACAAAACTAATTTCTGAAAGTAAACTATTATCTAGGATAGAATGTGTTAATATTTTATATATGATATATTCGAGACTTCTAAATTAATAATAATAAATATAATAAAACAAATATATAATATCTAATAAATAAATTCATTCTTAATAAGGATATTACTTGCACTGGAATTATAAAATAAAACTAAAAAATGAGGAATTAATTAATAACGCGCTGAGAATTTTTAAATCGTGTGCGTGTGTGTGTTTTTTTTTCTTTTTATTTTTAATAAAATTTCCTTCGTCATATCTCTTTTCAATAGTCATGAGATGGAAGTTTGTATAAAGGTTATGAGTTTATAAACTTCTCATAAATATAAGAATGACGATCACAAAATCAATCAAAATCAAATCTTATTATATTCAAATAATTTATTAGCCCGTGGAAATCAATGATTTCGTAGACAAAGAGGAAGCATCCCTATTTTTATTCGATGCGTAAGATTGAAAATTTAATCGCGCCGCGCCGTGAGAGTCAAAGGAAAGTAAACGAAGTTTCGATCCTATCGATCGAATTGCGACTTCTTCCCTCTTGTGAACAGAATAGAATATCCGGCAGAGCCTGCAGGAATGTAATTACTCGCACGAAAATGACGAACGACTCCTATATTAATCTCCACACCACTTTCGACCGACAAATTAAAAAATTCCTCGACGAATCTTCCCGATGAGTCAGTATCATAAAGCAAGTTATTCTGATGACGCGGGTAAATTAGTGATCGTCCGTTCGCAGATTGCGTTCTTCCTACAAGAGTGATAGATTAGTTTTATGGTCGTAGTAAAATCATACAAATATTTGATTCGCAATTTTGTATACGTTTAAGGCGTATCGTATAGTTTCAACTTAAGATACATACTATTTAGTTAATGACACATCATAATCGTTATAAATACAATTGTCAATTTCCTTTAGATCAAAGTGAACACACTCACCTTGATTGTCCGGTTTGCGTTTCTTGATCGGAACATCACCACCCTCGTGTTGATTCACCAGTCGCTTTAATTGACAGTTCTGTGACAGCAGTTGGGTTTTCTCTTGCTCCAGCTGGTATATGTATTCGGCAGTCTGCTGAAGTATCGCAGCCTGAAATAAGGATGCCATGTTATTGAAATAAATACTTATTTACGTATTTAGTACGTTAATAATTTGTATTCAACAATCTATGCGATAAATATCATCGATGATCATCAACGTGTAAGATACAAGATACAAAGTAAAAATTAAAATGAAGTGTTGCAAGCGTGGCCCAACGATGTATCGAAGATTTAAAAAGTGATCTTTAAAGCGCGCGTTGCTACTATTTTTATCTTTATACACGTTTTACCTAAATCAATATCTATTCCATCCATTCTAAGTCAATACTCGTTAAATAATTTTTACATCGTATTTGTCAGATATCGTGATGTTCGAATATTGTCGATATAAAAATTGTTCTATATATTTTTAGAACAAACTGACGCTAGAACGAACGACATATCTGGCATATCTCGCTATACTTTCAATCAATAAAAACCTTCGAAACGAACCAAACTAATATCCATAAAATACCAAAGGACAAGAAACAGCGGAACTAGGCCGAGTTTAAAAAGAATAAAGGTTCATTCAACACGCAGGTGTTCCCAAAGAATTATTCGCAATCTGTGTCTGAATACAAAATAAATAGGCAAGAGGAGGGGGTGTAAGATACTTCCTGTTTATATGGCTGAAGCTTAAAGGGTTTTATCATGGGGGAGAAAGGACCACCATGGGTCTGTGATCGAGTCGATAACATCCGGAACAGCGACGTACGCGTGTCGTACGCACGTAGTACGTAGTAAAACGGGAATGGTGGTGGTAGCAGCGAAAACAAAAGGGCCAATTGATACAGGAGTAGAAGGTAACGGGCTGTACGTTTTGCACCTGCCGACAGGTGGCCAACGAACAGATGCCCGCGTGTGTCGTGAAGCCATCTTCAGCTGTTTCTCTCTTGAAACTCGTTCCACTCGAAACTCCAAGTAATATACATTTAAAAAACGTTTCTGCTGTGATTATGCATATGATGCAAAGGACATTTAACTGGTTAATCGAAGAACTGGTTTCATGAATAATTTTTTCCTACAACCGTTGAATTATTTTTTCTTTTCATTTTTGCTCTAGATTTGTTCATTTTGGATCGGATTAATTTGTAGGTTCAGATGCATTTCTCGATGCGATAAAAGCAAGATCAGGATTCACGTTAAAAAATGTTTTGTAGAATTATAAATTGAGCTTTTTTCACTGGTCTTGCTTTATGGTTATTTTACTATGAATCCGTAATTCCTGTTCTCTAATTTTTACTTTAATCGTAATATAGGATTTCAATTATTTTTATTTTTGTTCTTTATTATTTGAAATATAATTGTTCAATTGATTTATCTATCTATTTTCTCCTTTATATTGGGAAAAATCTTGTTTCTCTTTTTCTAATTTACTAATTTCCAAGTAGATTCATAAGAGCATAAAAAAACAATTGCTTTCATGGAAATTATTCTATGATTTTAATATACTTTATTACATTAAAGTATGAATATATTAAAATTTAATTTAACGTAATTGTATTAAATTCTGTTGCACACATTGTTCCTCTTTCGAAAGGCTGGATTATTAAATTCAAAATATCATGATAACGAGAAAGTATTTCACAACTCGTTAAAACTCCATGTAATTCGTCTATGCTCGCGTGTAAGCACGGACAAAGAATTTCTAGAATTTAAATACATAGACTGCTGAACATGATATTTCGCAATATGAAGTCATACACGAATTAAGCGATACACCGTATATAAAAGAGAATTAAATTTAAACTAAAATCAGTGGAGCTAAAGTTTATACGTTTTAAACTTTTTCAGGGTTTATTTCTACTAATACAAAAACTATTATTAAAAATAAAAGTAACCATATGATTTCAATTATCTTATAAAGTTTATTTGTTATAAAAGGTACGAAATATAGAATTTGCAAAGCATGCGATTCTTTCTAAATCCATATTTTTATGGACACAACTAATGAAATAGAATACTTATATTTATGTTCACATTTCAGGAGGATCTGATCTTTGCAATCTATTACAGCAACAATTGTAACATTCGATGAAGATCGACAGAATTTTCATTATATTCTTCCATGGGACTACCGAATGGCAGAAAAATTTAGTTTGTTCACCAGAGTACCGTATCTCCTCGTGTGGCTTGGTTTGGCTTACAATCTCATGGTTGCATCACCTAGCGCCATTCAGGGGCAAATGAAAATGCATGGCGATGAATCTGATAAAAAATTACTCGTCAAAAAGGTCATTCGATTCCAACGACAGCGCGACGAGACGTAAGGGAAAAATCGATTTGGAGATATAAATTTGGTATTGAATATATGATGAAGATGTGTTTGACATGGTTTGAAGAAAACATAGAGTTTCATAAAACATATAAATACATATAATAAAAGATCACAAAATAAAGGAATAAAAAGATATTTTCATTTAAAGTGACATTTAGATTACTTAAAAAATCCATTTAGATATTTTAATATTGAAATCTGTCCATCGCACAGATTATACTTCAAGTATAATACAATATTTGCATATATAACAATTGAAATAAATTACCCTATTTAAGTTTCATTTCTATAGAAAAGTTGCGCCCAATAAAAAAATATGAATCTGCATAAACTGAGCAGCTAACTCAAACGCGTGTAAGCGTGTGTGAGAGAGGTCAAGAAAATGTTAACGATGCGTTATACTGCGAATCATGCATATTTACATACATCTATGACATCATATGATTGAATCTTCGGTTTGGGCGAGTAACGATCTAAATATATAATAGTTCGCGTCGAAAGGAACGAAAAATGAAAAAAAAAAGGAAACTAGCAAAGAAAAGTATTAGCCAATTCGCCAAAAAGTAGTTATTCTTCCGACAAAAACATAAAACGATCTTACGATCGACAAAAAATCTTTTCCTAAAATATTCCTACTCGCATAAACACGTAAAACACATGGAAATATTGAAGACGAGAAACACCGCAAGGTTGAGACAGAAAGGAAGTAACAAAAGGAAAAAGATCACTCGTGAGAGGAGAGAAAGGCGGAGAAAGAATGCAAAGGTGCGCTGTAACAAGACGAAAAGAAGAAAATGACGAAGAAACTAGAGTAGAGGAGAAGTCTTAACCAGAGAAAGACGAAAAAGAGAAAGGATGTCTGAAGAATAATATCAGAGGAACCGGGTACGAGTAGGACTCGAGCAGGGGCACGGACTCTTATTATTGCGTTTGCGTGTATGTAAGCCCGATCTTAGAGCATAATCGCGAACACACTCGGCATCTGTCAAGGGCACAAGGAGTTGGAACGAAAAGAGCTGTCCTTTGCGCGCATGTTGTTCTTTATTTGTGCAATTAAAAACTCACAGTTAACATTGAGAACCGAAAGCGATCCAGATGAAACCGAATCCGCGTTCCTTGGAGAATCCGCGGATTTTAATTCTTTTCGTATGTTTTAATCCATTTCGGAATTACGAAATTTGTTTAATTAATAAAGCTAGAAGAATTTTGATAATTCACAAAAATAAATACATATTTAGATATTCTTTACAACTAAAGAAATGTTAAATATTTAATTGGAATTTTCTCATGTTCTTTAATGTTCCAATTGAAGATGTAAAATATTTAAGAATTTATTGCGGGTGTTAATAAATATGAAATATCAAATTAAAAAAATACTTTAGAATTTAATTATTCATTTTCGAAAAGTTATGGCTGGATATATATCACGAGTATTCTCATTTCTATTTCTTCTTTTGTCCTTTAAAAAGAGAAGATAGAAAAATTAAAAGCTCATAAAACATCGAACTGGGAGTTGATTATGTATCGCGTGACTCGATCGCTTAAATTCGAGGCAATCCATTTTTTACCTCTAGACAATCGACGCCGGCAATACGAAGAAACAGCTATAAAAATGGTTGTCGTTGTTTGCCATGATTTCGGGATCAGCGTGATCTAGGTAAATCATCCAGGTTTCAATTTCGAACTCGCAATGTCTGTGACCAAATCGTGTGTTCGCGTGTTCATACCCATTTTCTCTGAATGCTATAAAAATCTTTCATATTTTGGAGCGGTTTATAAAGCTTCCTCTCCCAAAAAATTATATATAGTTTGTTATGAATATTCATATAAATGTATTACTACTGTCAATAGAGGTATTATAGATCAAGAATTTTTTACATTATGCTACATTATCGATATTTATTGCTCTAAAATGTCATAATCTTATTTCTGTATATCCTCCAATTACAGAACTATATGAAAAAGAATTCTACGTTTCATAGATCGATAATCTTCTGTACTTTAGAAATTTTCATATATTCGCATATATTTCGGAGCAGCTATAGTTATATTCATATATAATTAGATTTCTACATATCGAAAGATTTTCATTTCATAAAGAAAAATATTTTTCCAACGTTCAGATCGAAAGATCGAATTTCGCTTAGGAGATGCTAACTTTTAGGCCGTTTTTCGACTATGATGATTAGGGGAGCCGAAAGGCCACGCGTACGGCCTGCTCGGTCAGAGTTCCGACGCACGTGCCGAAATCTTGTTAATACCATTCTGCAGAGTCGTGGCGGGCCAAGGTCGATCCTCGAACGTTTCCTGAACGTTCGCAGATAGCGATTTGCGGAGAGGAAGCGGCCAGTCGAATCGACTGGCCAGGCAATTTTTTTAAATAACTCCGCTCAGAAAGTTTCGTACGAACAATTGGTTCTTCTGATCATCTTCAATGGCTCGATTTGATGAGATTTTATTTGTGTAAAAATGTTAAAAAACCATGTTAGACTTTAAACTTTAAAACTTTAATAATTATCCCTATATATAAATTCGTTCTATAATAAATGGACAACGATAATATTCTACGAGTAATGTAGCGTTTATGTGTGTCATTACTTGGTAGTGATGTATGTAATAAATATGTAATAAAAGTGGTAGTATGTAATAAATATCAAACACAAGGAAAATCGTAAATTTTTAATTAAAACAATTCTTGGATATAGGAATTTAAAAAAACTTCTCTGAGTGTT